CATATTGATCACAAGCCAAAAGTGGGAATGACCTCTTTATACATAAATTACTACTTAGGCGTCACTGGGAATACTGTGTATAATTTTGGTCTTCTTATCTAACAAAGTATATCGATTTATTGGAGAGGATTCAGAGGTGGACTACTAGAGTGATTACGAGGATGGAATGGCTATCTTATAAGGTTAGATTAAGATACCTTAAAGGTATTTTCTCTTGAGAATAAAAAAAAGTAAGCGGTGATCTTACTTAAGTTTAGAAGATAGGCTCGATAGGTTAAAAGCCTTTGATTTTTTGTGCTACATTCAAGATTTTGAAAAGCTACGTTTGGCTACAGTTAATTTTTTTTTTCTATAAAGATGATTGGCTTATAGAATGAACCATCGGTAGTAGTAGAGACTGGCACTTTACAATAGTTTAAGAGGGGAATCAATGATTTTCTGAAAAACAAAATGATGGGTTTAAGTTCTTACTTTTCTCAAGGGTGGGTGTGCAAGGACTACCTTGAAGGATCAAATGGTCTTTTGTTGTTCATATGCTGTATAATGGACATTGTTTCACTTCACTACAGTACTTGGTCCACAATTTAGTATTTTTTTTTTTTTACATTGACTGACGTGTCTTATTGAGTTTGATATTTGTAGTTGGCTTTCAAATAAGGTTAAGAAAAACCTTTGGTCCCCTGGTGGGACATTGGTAAGTATACGGTTTGTTTGTTTGTTTTTTGAATTTCGCGCAAAGCTACACGAGGGATATCTGCGCTAGCCGTCCATAATTTAGCAGTGTAAGACTAAAGGGAAGGCACCCACCGCCAACTCTTGGGCTACTCTTTTACCAACGAATAGTGGGATTGACCGTCACATTATAACGCCCCCACGGCTGAAAGGGCGAGCATGTTCGGTGTGACGGGGATTCGAACCCGCGACCCTCAGATTGGTAGTCGAGTGCCTTAACCACCTGGCCATGCCGGGCCAGGTAAGTCTACGGACTTCCAAAGCTAAATCAAGGGGTTTGATTGGACACAGCAGACAGTTCAATGTGACTTTACTCTAAAAACAACAAATCCTAATTCAAACAGCTTTTGATAAGCTTTATATAACTTAGTATTCTTGTGGCAACTCAGACATATGTATACATTGACATGTTTAAGTTGACAAACAGTATGTGATTGTTTTTCATATACTCATGTCATTTGGTCCTTATTTGCCACTTTTAGGGTTAAAAAAGGTCAATAACATCAAAACCCAATCCTGCGACGTTCTGAATGATAAAACACATAATTAAGTGCTAGAAATGCATGATAAATTATCAATAAAACCGGATGCCTGATTGTAAAACGATATGCCATCGAAACCATTTCTAGCACTTCGATTGCCACGTATATTTCATACTCATTATTTATCAGGCCAGATCTTCAAATCAAGACAGTTTTTTTTATTTGTAATTTAGATATTTTTATTTGATAAATTTTACATAATTTCTACACTTTTTTTTTTATTTTGGCCAGTCACATATGTTCAGCACTCATAAATTCTTCAAATATAGTTTTGACATAATATTGTCGACTTTCTTTCATTTCTTTTGCATTTAAAATTGTTCGTAGGAGTTACTTTTCGAAATGTCCATTCGTCCAAAGACGTTCTATGGAAAGGGCAGACTTTTTTGCCCACGATAAACAGTCAAAGACATCTATAATTCTGATGCTCAGGAGTGCTGGTGCTGCTATTCCTGGAACATAAAGTCCAATGGCTTCAACAAGTGGACATATCCAAGGAGGAAAGAAGAAAGAACATTCTGAACGTTTCAATCGATCATTCTAATTCAGATTTAGATTAGGTTCTTCAAATTGTGGTTATGATACTAACCACTATGTTGCAGGAAAGCTCTCTATACACTCACAACTGAAGCAGGCACGGTTGAACAAGTAGATGCTGACAACAAGAGAAGAAATAAAACACTTCATTGGTTTGTTGAGACTTGTACACGTGCCTTAAATTCAAGTCTGCTGGTAACGCCGTTAACTGTACACTAACAAAGTGGCTGGTTTGAATTGTTGCTAGAGTGTGGAATTTTGTTGACAACTCAACAGCACCGAGAGGTGGAGAGGCGACCGTGTTACAAGTTGAAGAATCTGCTTGATTTGTTGCTTACAAATGGAAATGACATAATAAAATTCAATATGATAGTGCTTTACAACAAGGCAAAGATTGGTATTGGTATTGTTACGACAGCGGAAGTCACGTGACGCTGGGAGCATGCGCGCTGGAGTTTCTCGAAGGATCATGAATTTGCCCGGCAACTCTAGTCTGATCGATTGCCCCCTTTTTTAATATATAAGCCTGGCGAGAAAAATCAGCGGGGCAGATAGATTGAAGAGATAGATAACTGAGTCAAGTGACCAGTAGGCAGCGTAAGTAAAGTGTGTGAATCACTGTGATTTATAGCGTGTGTT